TTTTACGGTGTTTATTATATGTGATAAAATGAAAAATGATCGGCAAATGATCGGCAAAATGATCTGCAAAATGTGATGAAATTAAGCATGACCGCTATGCTATATAATACTAATGAAGAAATGTCATGTCTCAAATTTTTCATTTATTTCTAAGAACTCTTGCAAAATAGAAGATTGCATGTGATGTATCTTTGTTTAAGCTTACAACCTCTATTTCAATTGTAATCACAAAAATTGGGATATTTGTTCATCATGGATCAAGATCTATAGATGATAAATCGCACATGTATCACTAATTTCTATTCAAAAATAGATTAATGTGTGATTAGCCTGTACACGTAATTTGAATGCGTTAACATCAGTAGGATAATAAAAATTTACTATTTATCCGAGAATCTATAAATCATAGATTCTAATCAGCTTTATTTCCATTTTTGAATTTCTTTTTAATGACATCCTATTTTACGATCCACATGTAAATCAGGAAATATTTTTTATTAGTAATTTAGAACTATGTAATGAGTGAGATAGAATGTACCAAAGCTTTAGGGAAAGTTTATCAGTATAGCAATACAAAATATTACTCTTGGCTGGGTTTATTGATTTAAAAATAAAGTTTCACTTGATAATGACGCAGTTAAATCACATGCCTAATACAAGTATAGAGCGCATAAAATATAAGCCACCCACATGATTCGAGAAAAGAAATGATACTAGAACTATGCGAATATGTGATTCACTTGATAATTCTCCTAGGAGGTTACCGAAAAGATAATAGGGCTCATAATTGGTGAGACTTTCATTTTGTATCTTCCGTCACGATAATAATAATAACCTTTATCATATTCATCATCATCCGAATCATCTGGCATCTCCTCTTCAGAATCACTAAAATCATCTGTCTCAATTTCATTCGTTCCTTTATCTGGTTGAAGTATGGGATTTCATCGTAGACATTTGCCTTAGCTGGAGTTACTACATTTGATAATGCTTTGTTCTGTCTTTCTTTCTCTATCCTAGCCTTATCCTCGTATGGCGTACTCCAATTAGCTATCTGTGATCATCATCCTCAGATGGAGATGTGGATGATGACAGTCATTGGCAAGATTTTTTCGGGACGGGCCGTCTCAGAAATTTCGGTCACATAATCTGTTACTGTTGCTTATTAACACATCAAAATGAAATAGAATTTTATAGTAGTGTATTACTGCCAGTTTTAGTTTTGATGACGAAACAAGAGACGAAGACATTAACCTGACAGAGAATGATAAGGTCATTTGAGAAATAAATTGGAATAATACATTCGCGCAATTTGTAGTAATGAACTTCAACCTTATCCTTAATAAGAACACTTACTCTCTGCTATCTGCACCCAATAATAATACTAAATTGTCCTTTTTTTTCTGATCTACGACTTTAAAAAAAAATCGTTATAAATGCAAGGTGTAAATTTTATCTGTTATACTATAATGCGCATTTATTAAGTCACGATTAAAAAGTCACAAGCAAATATTTATTATTATATATTGGTTCTATGAATGTGTTAAACAATAACAATATAGCTAAAAAATAAAGAGTACATGCAAGAAAAAGCTTGGAGTAAGAAATAATAATTTCTGTAAAGGAGAACATAGATTTTGCAAATTATATAGAAATTTTTTTCGGAGAAAAAAAAGCACCATTTGTTATGTGTTTATAACTTTCATTCAAACATTTATAGAACGCATCAGTGTTTTTTCTGGTCCTGGCTTTCTAGGATAAAACGATTTTCACATCCATTATTACTTTTGAGAACCCTTCTACAGTCCTTGGAATTTCGATGTCTTGAAGGCTATCATTATGATAATATTATCGAAAAGATATTTTGACATGGATATGGTAAGACAGAACCCATTCGATTGAAGGCTGTAGACTTCAATATTTTTTTTTAATATTGGCTTTTGAGGCAGAAGGAAGCGTGAAAAATAGAACCGTTAGAATAACCTTCGTACGGTATTCTAATTTTCGAAGATTGCCAGTCTTCTTTCCGTGAGTATTTAATACTCCATCTTCTTGAGCTAATAACTCGGTACCTAAAGACTTCAAAAAGCCTTTACCATCGAGCTTCGGGCCACTGCGCCCAGCAATATTTAAGATCTCTTTAAGCCAATTTGCCATAGCTTAATTTGAGATCTGTTTTCCCAAAAAAACGCGTTTCTAAGCAACAGAGTCCATAGATATTCATTAAATTCACGTTCAGACATAGGTTAGAGGAGGATATCGTTTTATATATAAGAGTAAAAAGATTTTGTGCATAAATAAGGTCATCCGATGCTGTAGAGCAGTGATGTGCATTTTATGCTTCCAATGGTAAAAAATTTGATTGGAAGCTTCCAATCCAAATAATTTTATTA